GCTGTCTAGGCGGGCGGACCGTGGCTACACCTTATGACTGACATCCTACACCCTAAACCCTAAACCCTAAACCCCCCCAACAAAAAAACAAACAAACAAACTAAACCCCTGAAGATAATTTCAATTCGTAAGCACTGAGAACCCCGGACCGGAAACCGAAAGCCTAAAATCCCGGGATCTAAACCTCAAGCCAACGAAAAGGAACCTAGGGTTTAGGGTAGACCCTGTAGCCGTAAATGCCGTAACACCTAAACCCTAAATGCAGCTCTAAACCCTTGAATGCCTGAACCCCGATGTAGTTTAGAACCCGTATAAACCAATTTGCAACTTCAACGGAACCCTCACAAAACCCTAGAACCTTCATAGAACCCTTTTACCCTTGACGTCCTCCAGGTCGGCGAGGGTTGCATCCCTTCAAGTCATTGCGGTTTCTTCGGCTTAGGGTTTACCTGGGCCCTTAAGAACCTCCCTTTTTAGGGCTCCTTATTATGATTTCCTGAAATAACTCCTCAAAAAAGGTAAGGCCTGTGGGCTTTTCTAGGGTTCATTTTAGGGTTTAGGGAAACCCTAAACCCTGAACCCTAGGGGTCTGGGGTTTCGGGTTAGGGAGCGGCTTCTTCAGGTTTGTAAGGCTTCACAGAGCTCCTTTAGAGGAGCTTCATAATGTCTTTGACATTATGAGAGGAGCTTTAATTGGGCTTCAGGGTGTCTTTGGCATGGCTTGTTCCGGGCTTCGTGGGGGGTTTATATGTTCATGTGGGTCTGTTTACGTTAACACCATGACAAAAAGGCTTTTGCAAACCATGCGCACCATTCGACCCATGTGCTGGGCACAGGAAATCTGTAGAGAAGTGTATGTAATATCCTACACTCTTACTCCAAGACCCAAGATCCTATACCCTAAAGGCAGCGTTTGTAACACCGCGGGTTCGTCACTCAGAGCTGCGATTATCGTGGCGACATGATGCTGCAGAAGGAGGTGCGCAAAAATAACACGCTATACATGCGTGTACGTGTATGTATATATATATATATACATGTGTATATATATATATATCCAAATGCATCTCTCTCTCCTCTCTTTTCGTTTCTATGAACAAATATACATAAACATATATATATATACATATATACATATATATATATATATACAAATATGTACAACAAGTAGTAAGCATTGTTATCTGAAAAGTACTCCTATGTATATGGTTCTTGTCTCTTCACCTGTTGATATCCACTTAACATACGTCTGTGGAAACGTGCATGTAACTAAGTGTACACAGGATATCGCAGTAACGATAGCAGTGAAATATCAGCTGCTGCGCATAAGAGGGTCTATAGGGATGTTTAGGGCTTAGGGTTCGAGGTTTATGGTTCAGGGTTCAGCGGGTTCGGGTGCAGGTTTAGCCGCAATCTCATGGGAAAGCTCATGCAGGCTTGCAAGTACTACTGTACCCGGCACAAACCCTAAAATTCCAGGGCCTAATCCAAAAAGATCAGAGACCACCCAGTGCACCTTAAACCCAAGGAGCAACGCAAAAAGAACAACTCTCGCCTAGCTGACTCCAGAAGCTCGACGACTCGTGCGGCATCATGCGCCTCTGCGCTGCGTTGGTGGGGCTTGCGCTTGTGGTTGTAAAAACGAAGATATGAGCTGCGGGGTCTGTTTTTTTTTGGGAAGTCTGTGATTTTCAGGGCCTACAATGTACATGCTTTGGCTTCTTGGTGTAGCCATTTACTGGGACTTCACTGTAGGGTGAGGGTCAAAGGAGTTGTGGGCTGAACTACCCATAGGCTCCATTGTAGTTCCTTCTTTGGGATTGCCTTATAATAGGATCCAAGTATAAACCACAAAAAGCAACTACAATGGAGCCTATGGGTACAGAGCTGTCTTCTGCAGGAACCTGAATCCTCACCAGTGGGGTTTCGGCGTGAATGGTAATATAGGGGTTAGAACAGGGTCTTGGGGTATATTCTTATACTATAATTATAATAAGGAACCCCCAACCAAATCGTAGAGGTTACTATTTCGGCCCTATATTGGATGTGCGCAAGACACCTGCGCGGCCCTGGCTGCCACATAGAAGCCTCGAGAATTTGCAAGTTGCAAGTACTGGTTCTTCTTGACCCGAGGTCTTTCCAGTCGGTGTGGTAGTACTACATGGGCGTATGGGTTCGGCAGTATCGCTAGTAACCGCTGGTATACTCTGCAAAACAGGAGCATATTACTTGGACCGACCTAGACCCTCGTAATAAAACGCTATACTTGATACGTCTCTTTGCTTTGAAGTACGCTATAGGATGTGTGCAATTGTGATCCTGGTATTCACTTTGCCTGAGCCCCGAAAGGCTAAACCCCTACATCCTAAAGCCTACAAGCAGTCTACTGTAGGGGCCTCAATAATTAGGGTTTTGGGGGCTCCTTATTGTAAGTCTAGTATAACATACCCCCAAACCTTATTCTAACTATTACGGCTCCTACATTCACCCTAACCATCCCATTCCCACGCCTCTGCTGCACGCAGCAGCACGTCCGCATCTTTGAGCTCAGACCTTTGACTCCCAGAAGACTTCGAGGATTCCTTGAGGGGTTCCTTAAGGGTAGTATAGGGCTCAGGGTTCAGGGTTCCTTTAGGGGTTCTGTAAGGGTAGATAAGGTTTAGGGCTTAAGGTTCCTGTGTTGCGAAAATTGTTGATGTTCTGTCAGACCGACAGTGTTACAAGGGGCTTTTGTAAGGCTTTTTGCTGTTTAGGGGGGCGATACACAAACGATCTGTAAGGTTTCAGGGCCTGCAAAGGTGGGTACGCTGTAGCTTCGACTATCCAATTTCTATGGCGACCCCCAACAAACTATTGGCACACGAATACAATGACAGGAAACAGGCAAACACAACAACTAACCCGAAACCCTCAATCCCCAACACTAAATCCTACACCCTATAAAACGACAATGAGGCTGCTACCGGATGAGGCCCGGCGCCTGAATCGCTAGGCTACGGTCGTGAGGAGCTTTATATGATGACTATATTTGGGGGTTTCCAAAAATAGGGGACCCTAATATAGTACCCTAAATAATAGGTTCCTTATTATAAGGACCCCAAAATAAGGTACCCTAATTTTCGGAAATTCCCATTTAGGAATCCAGGTTCTCCAGCCGCTTTAACCTAAAATTTGAACCGCCTTATTGGGAACCCGGGAATTTGAGCCCCAAGCCCGCAAACGCAAGCCTAAGCCCTAAAGCCTCATTTGATCCGCCTTGCGGAAGCCGGCTTCGTCCTGGTTTTGGGCGCGCGCAAGCGCCTGAGGATCGCCTCTGATTCCGACGACTTGGGTGCTTTCACTGGGTTTTCTGCTGAGTCTTGTCCGGGCTTTATTAGGTTATTAGGGGCTACAGTGCCTTATAAGCAAGCGTGATCATTATAAGTTTCTACAAGGCTTGAGATGGCCAGACTTCTAAATCATGTCTGTTTGGAACTAAGTATGTAGACCTCTGCATGCTCTATATAACCCCATGGATAAGAATAAGTGTGTATATATATATATATACACACATGGACAGGGCAGTTTTGAGAGGGACGGACAGAGAGAGACTGAGAGAGAGATGGACATAGAGACAGACATACATATTTCGCACTCCGCGTTCTCCACGCTGCCGACCCCGACCCCGCTCCAAACAGGGCATGCAGCAGTCAAGACAGCCTGAACCCCAAGCCTAACCCCTCACCCCCACCCCCACAAGTTAGCGCTCAGGTTTTTGGGTGTCTTGGAAAGAACGAAGGACACCACGGAATTTGTGTGGGAGAGAAGGGTATACACGTAGAGCGTTCGCTCGCACTTACAGCTGCCAAAGGGCCCGAGGCTAGGCGAATAGGCTGTGAGATTTCGGGATGTAAGACTTAAAGATACCCCTTTGAAGCCTTGACCCTAAACCCGAATGTAGCATGCGGGGCTTGCGTCGGAGTCGCATCCTCGTCAGTCGCATCTCCGTCCACGGTGGCTTTCGCCTGGCCCGACTTACCAAAGACGCCAGAACTGCTGCCATTTTGGTGTCCCTTCCTTTGGAAGTTTCCTTGTGCATAAGCCATTGAAGCACAAGGCCATGCCTGTTCCTGCTAGCTAGTTTATAGTAGGTCGGTTTTTGCAGAAGCCACCGTGAGAAATCTGGCGGACCTCCTTTATGCGTTAGAGCCCAGTTTGCTCTTAAGTCTGTTTAGGGTTTAGTACTGAACTCTGGACTACGCGAACAGCAACCCACTTTATACGGTTTAGCGTCTAGGGACCTTCCTAATGGCTTACTGGGCTCTGAATACTCTAAGGGAACACTAGTTAACCTTACTATGTAGGCATCTGGTGTTCTTGGGTAAGAAATCGGGAAAACCCGAATCAGCACCCCCCTCGAATCCGAAAGGCAATCCTCCAGCAATATATGACCTCTTGCGGTTGCAGCAGTGGTATCTACTGCAAGGCTGGATGCAAATACATATAAAGATAGACAGATAAGTATTTATACAAGAATATACACAATATGTATGTGTATATATATATATATATACATATGTATGTGTGTGTATAAATGTGTATATGTATGTATGTATGTATGTATGTATGTATGTATGTATGCATGCATGCATGCATGTCATGCATGCATGCATGCATGCATGCGTGCATGCATGCATGGATGTATGTATGTATGTATGTATGTATGTATGTATGTGTGTACGTAGGTACGTACGTACGTACGTACGTACGTACGTAGGTATGTATGTATGTATGGATGTATGTATGTATGTATGTATGTATGTATGTATGTTTAAGTATGTATGTATGCATGAATGCATGTATGTATGGATGTAAACATAAGCGTGTATATATATATATATATATATTTATTTATTTATATTTATATATATGTATGTATGTATATGTTTGTATGTATATGTGTGCGTGCATGCAAAATAAAAAAGTACATAACTAAATAGGTAAGTAATTAAACAAGCAAATGCATATATATATATATATATATATTTATATACATATATACACATACACACGTACATCCTTACGGCAAGCAAGTCAACATCAAACTGCAGGACAGAGTTTTAGGGGGGTTTTCATTTCAGACAGGCTTCATGCTCTATAATTACACAGGGACGATAACAGGCATCTAGTACTAACTACTCCAGCTCCTAACCCCGAACCCTATCATCCTATGACGTATGCCCTAAGGCTCCAAACTGTCGCTCCGTCACTGGCCGCTACCTGCAGCAGGAGCCGAAGAATCTGCTTGCAGTTGAACCTTAGACGAACATCTTTAGGTCGATTTCGCCAAGCCCTTTCATCTGCGAACCTGATGCCTCCCGTCACCGTCTCTCTTTTTCTCCATTCCCCCTCGCTCAACCTGCCTCCACACTGAATGCAGTCGACAGCCCCCTGCGGCACGAACCTTCGACTGCAACAAGATCAAACTTGCAAGGAAACTAAGCCAACACTCCTGAACCCTCCAAAATTCAACCACCTTGGCCCCTAGAGCCCACCTCTGCCGAGCTAAGGAATACACCGTGAATCATACTAGGGAGCCCGGTACGATTTCACACGTGCTCCTGCCCCTAAACTCAGACTTGAGACATGCTAGGCCAAGGAACGCCAGGGTAGCAGCCAGTTGCAAAGGGAGCTCACCTTGCTGTCCAGGACCTTGGCGATTTCTACTTCTACGACTATGAAGCACTGCTGCTATCGCCACGAACGCCTGTATCACATCGCTAAATGATGGCGATAGATATTTAACTCGGAACTACAGCGGCCGAGCTAATCGTAAGAGTGATTATGGAACTCATGAGCTATAGTGATAGATATATGGCCATCATCACAGTCACCATCATCATCATCATCATGGTCACAGCCATAACCACGACCGTAAGAATACTAAGACCGCTATCAAAATCAAAGGTGATCATAAGACTAGGAAAGAAACAACATCAGAGCAAACAGACTCCTAATCACAACATGTCTAAGAATCATGACATGGCCAAGGTACAATTCGGAGATGCGCAGACCCCAAACCCTAAACCCTAAACCCTAAACCCTCAACCCCAAACCCTAAACCTTCAACCCTAAACCCTCAACCCTAAACCCTCAATGACATGGCCCAAGTCGCAATTCGGAGATGCCCGGGCTGCGAGCAACAGCCGGACCGTCTCCTCCTGTGCCTCGCAGGCCAGACGCTCCTGCCCACAGGGTTTAGGGTTTAGGCTTTAGGGGTTAGGGGTTAGGGTTTAGATATTTGGGTTTAGGGTTTAGGGTTTAGGGTTTAGGGTTTACAGGGTGCTGTGAAGCCGCAACAAGATAATGCCTGTCTGTGTGAGTTTCCCTAACCCCCCAGGTACCTACTATATAGGGTACTAGAGCCCCTGAGGCCCTATATAGTAGGTATTTGGAGGGTTCGGGTTTAGGGTTTATAGGGTTTAGGGTATGCAGGTATGTCTGTATATGTATGTATAGGTACATCTCTGTAAATGCCTGCAGTTCTATGTAGCATGCTTGTATGAACCCGCATATATGCATGCATGCATACGTGCAAGCTATAGAAGTTCGCCATGTCCAGCCGAGTGAAAGTTCGTGGCGACCTCGAAGTTTACATCAGTTTTTGGAAAGTTGGAACAGGATTCGTGGGTACATTGTCGTATACTTCTATACTATACTATACTCTTATAGTTCTACAGGACCTATGTGTTGTGAATGATTATCTGAATGCCTCCTCCCTAGACCGTTTGGTAGAGCGACTTTAAGGGTTCATCGGGCATCTGCTTGGAAGCATTCTGGAGAGACCGGTCGAAGGCCCGGGTTGGCAACTTCTCTGGGAAGCAGGCCAGGGTCTAGTAGGGGTTTAGGGAAGAGGCAGCAATATAGGGGCCTTAACAATTAGAAGAGGGTTTTGGGCCCCACTATGCTATAACTATAATAACTATAATAAGGAACCCTGAGGAATAGTGTCGGTAATTGTGTAGGCTTCTACATTATAGACCGATTGGCCTGCCTGTGACAACGGCGGCGAGAGCAAGCACAAGTGGAGCGCAGTGTAGCCTCTGCTCTCTTTGCAAACCCTAGTGTAGGGGCCTTAATAAGTTGAATAGGGTTCCTTGGGGTTCCTTAAAAGGGTTCCTTAAAGGGTTCGATAAGGGCTACTATAGGGGTTTAAGGTTTAATATAGGGGCCTTAACAAATTAGAACAGGATTTCGGGGCCCACTATACTATAATCATAACAAGGAACCCTCAAAATAGTATTGGTTAGGCCCAAACCTGATGAGCGGGTTAGTGACACTTCAGTGCCCTCATGCGGCTCCGGAGTGCAATATTTACTACTACCTAACTACGACAACTAGTCCCTTCTAGGTCCAGGATTTAGGGTTTTGGGGGGCTAGATACTGTATCTACGTGAGTTCGAGCTTGGGACCATGAGCCCGAACCCTTGAACCCAAGATGCCAAAGAATTCTACAAAGTCAAAAGCAGAAAAGAAGCCGCTATGTAGATTGTGTCGAGCCGCAAAAAGTAGATCCCTATTGTAAGGACACCGCCCCTAAACCACATGCCGAGGTTAAATCTCTAGAACCACAAAGTTGCCCCTGGGCGATTGAACGCACCGGATATGATCGCTTGCAGAAACCGTTTCGGACACCAGTTCGAAGGCCGGAAGGATGTTTCTGGTCTTCGTTTAGGCCCAGAAAGCCCAAGACCCTTTTATTACACAGGAGGTACAACCTGAAGTCACACAGCGGGTAGGATTATGACTACCTGACCGCCAAAAGTAGGTAAAATGATGGTCCCAAACCTTCAAAAAGCTATTGTTCCATATACTGTTGGGGTCCAAGTAAGGGTTGCTTCCTTTATCGAGGGGTTCAGGGCCTCCCTGGGCACCCGGGAGGATGACTTGAGGCAAGGTCGAAACCGTTTGCAGCAGTCTGGCTAGAGGCCCTGTAGGGTTTAGGGGCTCAGGGCTTATAAAGGTTCAGGGTAATGCCTGAATTGAAGTGGCCTGGACGTGAAAGTCTAGGTGTCCAGGTTCATAGGGGTGTAATGATCCCCACTGGGAACTTGTCACTGTCACTTGTTGCTGGGGCTTACACTTCGAGGCTTCCGGGCAGCTTCAAGCTCACTTCAAGATTGAGGGCTTACTTGGAGGTTCATGGGTAGTCATAAGTAGGGTTATAAGTCCCCTGATATGGGTTATAATTATAGCTACCCTACTTATAACCCCACTTATAACTACCCGTGAACCTCGAAGTGGGGTTTCGACTCAGGCATGGCGATAAGTGTCCGGGCTGTCTAGGGTGTAAAGGTTTTTCCAACCCAGAAAAAGGCAAGGCACAAACAAAGAAGAGAGCCTGAAGATATCTTACCTTAAACCACCAGAACCTACTTTTTTGTAGGGTCCCTATAAATCCCATATTAGGGTTTATAATAATGACCTACAAACAAGTGGGTTTTGGTAGGTTAAGGTAGACCCTAAACCCCAAAACCGTACTCCTATAGACCCCTTCTCAGCAGAGTCAAGCCACCATCTGCATCGGTCTGGTTCAGAAGGCCTTCCCCTCCTCCGGGTAAGAGCCTGCAGTCAGCATCCGAACCCTAAACCCGAAAAAACCCTAAACCGTGTAGGATTTAGTGTTTAGGGTGAACGCTCTCATAGACCGACTTAGAGTTTATCGGTTCACTTTTCGTGTGGGTTATAGGCTGGTTTTTGACGGCATGCTTCAGGCGAGACGACGGGAGGAAGGGATGATGGCCGACGTGGCCCTTTCCTCTAACCCCGCTTAGCAGAACTATCTGGTGAGGCCAAGGGGGCACAACTGGGCGACAGCCAAATGGGTCAAGTGAGGAGGGGCCCAAACCAACCCCAAAACCATAATTCCAGCCGAAGCCATTAGGAGTCTAATTTGGGAGTTTCCGAAAAATAGGGGGCACCTTATTTTGGGGTCCTTATAATAGGAATCCTACTATTTGGGGTTCTATATTAGGGTCCCCGATTTTCGGAAACCCCTAATCTGGGATTCAGCTTCATTCTTCCAGGAATACATATGGGAGGTTCCGAAAATATGGGGCCCTAATATAGTACTCTAAATAGTAGGACCCTTATTATAAGGACCCCAAGATAAGGTACCCCTAATTTTCGGAAAGTCCCATTTGGTTCTGGGGAAACAGGTTTTAGTTGCATAGCTCTCGAAGCTAAACCGGCTGAACCACAAGCCCAGCCAACAGTCATCCGACCGTCCTATAGGCCCCCTTTTATGAGGTGTATTTGGGGTTTAAGTTTCAGTATGGTACGCCCTCCAGTATGGTGGGGGTCCTAGCCCCCAACCAAGCCTTGTATGAAGTAAACCCATGTGGGCCGAACCTTCGGCTCACTAAGAGGGCCAAACCCTCGGTCAGTTTCCTAATCTTTGGAAGGTCTGGAAAGGAGGTGCTCTAGACTGGAAACTCTACCTATAGTCTCCATTACAATGGAGACTATAGGTCCCCAGCTCCTAAAGCCCTAAGCCGTCTTCGCGCAGCTTAGCTGCTTGGCCAGTGCCGTAGACACGGCCTTGGGACTGTGCATTGCGGCAGCCTCGGAACAAGCCCCAGGCGATACCCCTGAATGGTTCAAGGCAGGGACTTCGTGGCTTTGGTCTTCAGGGCCTGGGGCTTTAGGGTCTAGGGCTTTAGGGTTTAGGGCTTTAGGGTCCAGGGCTTTAGGGTTTAGGGCTTTAAGGGTTTAGGGCTTCAGGGTTTAAGGCTTTAGGGTTTAGGGCTTTAGGGTTGTACGCTCTCGCAACTCAGCTTCAGAATTGGTGCTAACGAGACTTTACCCTTAGAGCCTGGGTCTATAAACACCACGTGCCGTGACCTCTCAACATACTTCAGCTGATCTGGATTCGCAGAGGAGTTACTGAAATTATAATAAGATCCCTAATATGATCTTTAAGGTATATTCTTCAATTAAAGGCTATTGGAGTCTTTGGGTTCTTGTGAAGCCAAGCCAATGCTCCTCCCGAGTACCCAAGGGAAGATGGCTACGCTCTCACACTCGCACTCCGCCAGATGAGTTTAGGGTGAATGTAGGTTCTATGTGTCTTTTACCTACGTCCCAACAAGCCAGGAAAATAAAAGGTCAAACTTTCAGATTACTACTAAACTGTAAGAGCCCAAAAAGTTTAGAGGTTGGGTATTGGAGAACTGAGCCTAGCAGATGTTAATAACTTTGCAAAAAGGGTGTTATTTAAACGGTTGCAGCACCCACAACATCCCACAACTTGGCAAAGCACAGCCAGGCGTCGAGGTTTAGGGCTTTGCGTTTCGATAGCCCGGAAACCTCTTTACGCTCTCACAAATCGGCACAGTCAAATGAAGTCCCTTGGTTGAGCGCAAGCACGTAGCACGTACATTAGCATGGCAGGCTTTCCGAAGTTTGTTCAACACTAGGGGCAAATCGGATAAAACTCGAGGCAGCAGCTTCCAACGAAACATAAACTTCAATGAACATGCAACTCCTAAACCCTAAACCCTAAATCCTAAACCCTATAAACCCTATAAACCCTATAAACCCTATAAACCCTATAAACCCTAAACCCTGAAACGCTAAACCCTGAACATGTCTGGGGCACTTCCTGCTGCTCCGAACAACACTGCAGGCTCCTAGGTACCCTTAGTCAATGGCCATCTCCCTGGAATCACAATTTAGGGTTTAGGGTTTAGGGAAACGAATCATAACCCAAAATATGGAAGGCTGTAGGATTTCGGGTGTAGTGTAGCCCCCAGAATTCGAAATCCGAGACCCCGAACTCCGAAACCAACGAGAACTTTGCCACTGCTGGACCTCTCGGAGCGACAATGCCGGAGCAGGTCTGGCAAAGATCAGTGGTTCAGTTTTTGGTTTCCGTAGGGCTCCTCTGCGAAAAAAATGTATTTGGCCCACATATAACGAATCCTCTTCTTGCGCAGTGTTTCTCTGGGGTGTAGGCTAAGAGGTTCAGCCGTGCGGAAAAGTTCGATCTGAGTGGAAGGAGTGGTCTTGAGGGTTTACGCTCTCGCAACTCGGCACAAACAAATGAAATCTGTAGGTATTTTTGGCTTTAGGGTTTAGGTTGAGGGGTTTGGACTATCGCGATTCGGATGATGCAAGAGTCCAAGTCCTAAACCCCCAAAGACCTCATCTGGCTGTGCCGTGTTGCGAGAGCGTAGACCCGAAGTCTAGGGGTTCAGGGCTTAGGGCCTTTGAAAAAACAAAAACAACACCTCGATATGCTAGACACCCAAGTCCTTGCATAGGCAGAACCAGGCTCATGATTGCGACAATGGTGGTACTCGTGCCGGGGCGATAGTATCCAACGTGTGCCCTCATCACTGCCGGAGAGGCCGCAGCCATGATGCAAAGTATGGACCATGATGAGTATAACGTGTAACGCGAACTCCTGAATCGAATTACGCCCTGACGGCTCTCTGACGGTCCAGTCCTGCAATGACGTTGTCGCGAAGGTGGCGAGGGAGATTCCGACGGCCTGTCCTCCGCGCCTGATATGGAAGGGCCTAGCTGCTTAACCGCCGGCTCGGACACAAAAGTTGAGGTGTCGTAGTGGTGGTGGTACTAGTAACTAGTGGTAGTCGTCCTCGTCGTCGACGGCGTCGTCGTAGCAGTAGCAGCTGCAGCAGCATCAGCAGGGGAGGAGTAGTGGGAACAGATGATACATTTGTGAACTCAGTTCCAGATCGTAGCTATCGGTTCATGAACTCCTGACTGATGCGGCCTCGAGCCCGTCGCTGTCACAAGCCGCTGTACACTAACCGAGACTGCATGAGATCTATAGGTGCGGAATGCAGCTAGCCAAGAGCGAGTATAGATCGCACATGTAGCCGAACAAGAAAGGAACAGGTTCTGATGTATCCACCCGCCCGCCCACTGACTTCCACAACCCAACGTCCAGAATCCTTCGTGCTCTGGGCAGTAAGCTGCTCAATGCCTACGGTTTGCATGGTTTTGCAGACCTTGCGTAAACCCTGCAAGTCCTGAAGCTCTTCTGTAGCCCTAAACCCTTTCAGGGGAGGCAGACTGGAGGTTTTGTCCTTGAAGCCAGGGTGGAAACTCGCTGGCAGCGGGAGCGCTGTCCTGCATGGCAGCAACACTGAGAAGACAGTTTTTGTCGGTTGAAATTGCTCATGCCGTGTTGTCAGCTGTCCCACCTTGATTTCGACTGCAGGTTTGCAAGGTCCAACTAACCAGAGGAACATAAGTTGAGCCGCTATAGAGCCATGTAGTGAAACAAAAAGAGCATACTGGGCACCTTCTTCTTCGGTGGATAAAGCCTGCCTGATATCCTCAAATCCCAAAAATTAATAATGTCAACCAAATAAATCTAAAAAGCACAAGCACGATCCCGGGTATGGCTCTGGGGAAGAGCCATCTTCGGTTATGGTGGGAACATGGCCAGACAAAGAAATCCTCTTGTGAAAGAGCAAAGCATGACACCGTAAGCTTCCACACCAACAAAAACCAGCCTAGAATTAGAACTGCACGCTCGAATTGGCTCATTTTCATGAATGTCGTCTCGACCCGCAATGTGGGGACCGGCGCAAGGCAATCTCAGGAAGTTCTGCAGAAGCACCTTTCACTGAGGATTTCGGGCACCTTGCCCCACAACAAAACAAACGAAAATGGTCCTCCGGCACAGGCGATGCCTGGGGTGGAGTGGGCAGCATATCCTCGCAGTATGTAGTTAGAGAGTGCAAGAAGCGAACATATGAGGAAGCCATGCTTTGAACTTCTGTTAGCGGCGCTTTCTACTACTTCTATTGCGCGGTTGACGGGGCAGCGTGTGAGATTCCAGAGGCTCCAAAGCCGCTTGACCAACGAATATACCGCAGGTCATAGCAACGATAGAAGTATATAGTTTAAGAATATCTATAAATACGTATGTTACAATTATCATGTCAAACATTGCCGTGCATTTACTTCTTTATTCTATTTACCCATACATATGTATAAATGTAGATATGTACATACATACGTACATATACATACATACATACATACATACATACATACATACATACATACATACTTACGTGCGTACATACATACATACATGCATAC